AGAACAAAAGAAAATAACCTAAGATCAACTCATGAGTTTAATCTGTTCAGAAAAAGAGTTCTACAAACATGTGCTAAATATTGTTTACTTCTAAAAGCCGCTCCATTTGGAGAACAAAGTTTACTGCCTCTCAAATGTACTTGTATCATTTTCTTTCAAACACTCTAAACAAGTAGCACTTTCATGAAACCATCAAAAGAAACAAATTCCAACACAGGAAAAGAGAAATGGGCTCAAGACTTATGTAAGTACATGTTTAAACTATTCTGACTCTGAGGACATCATATAGCACTTAGTGTTCGCTTTCTTTTTCATAAACTACAATCTGCTTTTTGCTTCAATGCCCAAGAAAAGGGCAAGAGGGACAGAAAGAGTGCTATAAAAGATGCCTTTATCGGAGTTACAACTGATCATGATTTTGTGTGGGGCTGTAATTCAGAACATGGCCTGTGGGGGGTGGGCGTAAATTTAAAAGTTCAATTGAAAAATTTATACAGTCTTATAACAAACAATTTTTTTTTTTCTTAAACAACTGGTTAAGTCAATTACTTAGGCGTCTGCAATAGTGACTTCACCCTCCATGCCTGACTCAATACTGATGGAAGTCATCTGCTCTCATCTCCGAAGGACTGCGGATGAGTGACTTGTGGATTCTCATTTGGAAATGATCCCATGTCCTGGAACCTTCACTACAAGGTGTTTTCCTCGTAGCGGGTCTCAGCGGCTTGGTAGGAAAGCGCATGCGCGCTGCTCCTTTCATGTTCAGATTCTTTTCCTTCTGGTAAATCGTCACACACCTTCTCCAGCGACTTCACTTGCGGCTGCCGGCAGGTCAATAGCCACCGCAGGTTCCACGGGAGTCTTTCTGGTATCTTCATTTTTATTTAAAGATTTTATTTATTTATTATTTGTACAGTATATAGTACTCTGCCTGCATGAGTGCCTGTAAGCCAGGAAGAGGGCACCAGATCACAGTAGAGATGGTGGTGAGCCACCATGTGGTTGCTGGGAATTGAACTCAGGACCTTTGGAAGAACAGCAAGTACTCTTAACCTCTGAGCCATCTCTCCAGCCCCTTTCTGGTATCTTTAAAAGCCATGGCTGCAGCGCAGCTTCCTCTGCAGGAGTGAACAGCAGTGAGTCAGGACTGGAGCAGACTGAACAGAACTCCACTGCTCGCACCAACACGTCTCAGAAAGCTAGATCAAACAACTCTACACCCTCAAATCTGACTTAGAAAAACCCTGTACCAGTATGTAATGACATGTTCTAACAATGTTTTCTGCAGCCTTTCGCTGGAGCAAAGACCATATAATCTAACTGCTTCTCAATGAGGAGCTGCTTAAGTCAGGCGTGTCACAGAGAGTGACAGTACAGTCACTGAAAGAACAAGGTATGTCTGTGGACTGCCACGGTGCCCTTTAAAGTGATGGGCTGAGGGAGAATCGTCACAGTGGTGCCTCCCTGGAATCACACTCCCATCCGAAGACTGGACAAGGGGCTTAAAAGCAGCCAGCCTGGGCAACAGAGTGAGACCTCTCCAAGGGAGTGAGAATGAGCAGTGTGCTACCATTTTCATTTTTAAATAAAGAGAGCAGGCCATATGCACCCACACTGAAGATGACAGTATCTAAGGGTAACCACTTTTCTGGGTAAGAACAGAGGGTGTGTTCTATAGCAACAGGATTAGTTTTAACCACATGCACATTTTACCTAGTTATTTTTAAAATTAAGGCATAAAAATTTTTAAACTTGTTGAAGGCCAAGATTTCAATTTTAGTGTATCAACAACTATTCCCTCAAACAGATTAGGGTTAAAACCCTTGGCAATGTAGCTAGGAGTGATGGCTCATGCCTACAATCCCTATAATCCAGGAGGCTGATGCTAGAGGCTAGCCTAAGCTACACAGTGAGTTCCAAACCAACTTGTGCTAGGATGCGCATGTGAATTCATATTCTCTCTCTCTCACATGCACACATAAGGTTAAAAAGAAAAGGAGGAAGGAATAGTCAGCCAGGCAATGGTGTCGTTCCTCTTTAATCCCTAGGAGGCTGAGCAGGCAGATCTCAATAAGTTCAAGGCCAGCCTGTTCTACAAGAGGGAGTTCTAGAACAGCCAACGCTATACAGAAAAACCGTGTCTCAAAAAAAAAAAAAAAAAAAAATAGACAGACAGACAGACACCTATCATGACAGCAATCTCAGCAATGAAGATGGCTCTATTGTAAGGTGCTGTAGGGCAGCATCACCTGGCTGGAATGCTCTGAGCCTGCCTTCTTTTCCCTTTGGTTTTCTCAGCCTGCTCTTCACCATCCACTTCGTCTTCCTTCACTAATTCGTTGACATCATCTTCACTGTACTCTGCACCTGAAATCATAGAACAGGGCTGTCAGACAGTTGGAACAAAGATTTTTCACAGAACGGTAAGAACAGAGTAAATCTGAGCCAGGTATGGCTATCTTCTGATGTTCAGCACTTGGGAGGTGGAGAATCAGAAGTTCAAACTTGTGCTTGGTTACAGAGTGAGGCTGAAGGCAGCCTGGGCTACATGAGACCCTCAAACAAAAGACCTAACCCTAACTCACTATGTAGACTGCGCTAGCCTCAAATTCATCTCTGAGCCCATCTGCCTGCATCCAAGTGCTGGGATGAGAGGCATGTGCCACCACGCCCAGCCATAGGCTACTATCCGGATTAGTGGCCCTCGACTATTTGCTTATGCTTTCCGATCCTCAGCCTTCTCATCTGAAAAATGGACAGTACAAAAGCATATATCTTGAAGCACTGTGTGACTGAGTTAGTAGTGAGTCATCATTAAAGTATTTTGAAGGTATGTGCATCCAAAAGGCATTTGTGAGCAGAGAAGAGCTAAGCTCTTATTAAATGGTGAATCACTGATGTCCTTCTCTCAGCTTCCTTAAGACTGAAAGCAGAGAACTGGACAAGAATGTTCCTTTTCATCATTCCTACTCAACACCATCATACAAGTATCAGGTACTTATCATTAATAAAAGTGAGCTGGGCGTAGTGGCACACACCTTTAACCCCAGTAATCGGGAGGCGGACTCAGGTAGATCGCTGTGAGTGTGAGACCAGCCTGTTCTACAAAGTTCAGGATAGCCAGGGCTTCACACAGAAGCCCTGTCTCAAAAAAGAAGAAAAGAAAGAAAGAAAAGAAATCAAAAGAAACATAAAAGTATCAGAAAGAAAAAAAAAATCAGCCTTGACATAATTATCTATCTGGAAAATCCATGGCATCTACAAAATCATCCAGAACTTACATATGGGTTTAACAAGTCTGAAGAACGCAACATTAGCATGCCAGCGTATTGTATTCTCATGTTCTAGCAATCAATCAGCAACTGGAAATAAAAGACCTACATAGAGACGACACCTTGTTCACAGACCAGTAGAGAAGACTGCTAAGTCATCCACTTCCCCACACTGATCTACAGACTCAGTGCAATTCCAAACAAAATGCATGTACTGTATCTGTGGAGGGACTGGGCCTTGTGGCGGAGGCAAACAGCTATGGGGAGAAGAGGGTAGTAACTGGAACAGCGCAGGAGGTCTAACCGAGGTTCAACATAACAATGAACATTCCAGAGAAACAAAACGGAAACTTCTGGGGAGAAGCTTCTAGAAGGCTCACTGACTGCAAAGTCACGCCAAAATGTATGATGATGGCGATGATGGCAATACAGCTTCAGGAAAATAGGAGCAAAGGGGAGATTCCTTCTGAGACAAGTAAAACAGATCCTACCCAGTAAGCAGAAAAGCAAATGCCTGTTATCCTCTGCAGCACTGGGAATCCCACCCAAGACACTCAGATGCCAGACAAGGCCTTTATCTGTGAGCTGCATCTCCAGCCCACAAGACAGACTTACTGGCAACAGTGGGATCGGGCAAGTGAAACAATGCTTTCACAATTCTGATGGAAGATTGCTCCCAACCTAGAATTCTGTTATCAGCCAACCATCAAAGAGGCCTGAGGTAACTTTCAGGCATTCCAGGCCTCAGAACGTTTCTGCCATGTATCCTTCCTCAGGAAGCCATTAAATGGTGTCTTCTCATTTTGGTGGAACAGGTAAAAAAAATAAATAAATATATATATATATATATATATATATATATATATATATATATATATATTCACACACACACACACATATACCAAGCATGAGGGAATCTGAGTCTGAGGCTGGCATGGTCACACACACTGTGTGAGGAGAACAGGTGGAGGAATAGATCAGAAACTCAAAGTTACACCAGTTACATATGGACTTCAAGACCAGTCTAGCATACATGACACCCTATCAAGAGAGAGAGACAGAGAAAGAGACAGAAACAGAGATAGGCAGGATGGCAGACAGAGAGACACAGACACAGAGACAGAGAGATAACATGAGAATACAGAAAAGGAATAAAGGGGACCTGAAAGAGTGGTAATGATGGCTAAAAACCTAAGGTTCAGCAGAGATGGAAAAACCACACCAAAATAAAGCAAAGCCAAGGCAGAGATAAACTTTTGAAATGAAGATTTAAAAAAAAAAACAAACAAACAAGCAAACAAACAAGGAATCTAAGTCTGCTGGGAGATGATTTTGGCAATTCTGAAAGCCCAGAGTCAAATCAATAGTAAGAGCATGGGCAGCTAAATTAAAAGAGGAACAGCAAGACAGCAGAGCAGATCTAAGCACTTGCCACCAAAGCTGACCACCGGAGCTCCATCCCTGGCAGAAAAAGAACATCAACTTCCCCAGGCTGTCCTCTAACTCTTACATGCACACTGTGGCATGTGCATGGTTGGACACACAAACACACACAGTAAATACGAGTAAAACAAAACATTAATATCCAGCCAAACTGGAAAAGGGGAAAGCAATTTTCTTAAATGGACTGGAATATCTGACACATGATAAAAACATACATACAGGTAAAAACCTCACATACATAAAATACAATTTAGAGCCCTAAAAGTTTTGTTTTGTAAATAAATGAAAAAGTGTTTGGAGGAGGATGCTGAAGAGATGGGTTAGCACTTCAGAGCCCGTGCTGCTCTTACAGAAAGGATCAAGGTCCCGTTTCTAGCACCCATGACAACCACTTGTAACTCAAGTCCAGGAGATCTGACATTGTCTTCTGGTTTCCTCAGGAACCCCACACATATGCACATGTGAATGCACACACATACACACACACACACACACACACACACACACACACACACATACATACGCAGACATATAAAAAAATTAAAAAGTAAATCATGTAAAGTGAATAAATAAGCAAAATGTTCAGTAAATTAAATGACCTGTGATTAAAATAACAAATAAATTTTTAAAAAGTAAATTAAAAAAATGTCACTGCACACCTCATGTACTCGTGTGCACGCCTTCCTGCGGATGCCGAGGCCAACCTAAAGTATCGTTGAGAAAACTGTCCACCTCTTTCCAGAAAGGTCCCTCATAGTCCTGGAGCTCACAAGTTAGGCTAGGCTGGCTTGCAGAAGAGCAGCCTCCTGTCTCTTCCCAGCACTGGTGGTTGAGCGTTGAACATTTACAGCAAGCATTTTACCACATGGATTCTAGAAATTGAACTCAGGTCTTCATGCTTGCAAGGTAAACATTTTACCAACTGCGGCATCCCCCAGACTCACTTCCTCTCCCCAGGCCCGGGTCTTATAACACGTTTGGCTAGCCTGGAAGTCACAATATTGAACCAGGCTATTGTCAAAATTAGAGAAATCCTCCTGCCTCGGCACCCACCAAGTCTCTGAGTTACAGGCTTACCCTGGCACAATATAACTTTTTGATTGCTGGATAAATAAGAATGACTAGGAAGTGTGTGTGAATGTGTGTAAAGTGGCTAAGGTTCTCAATCTTCCTAATGCTGGGACCCTTTAATACGGCTCCTCATGTTGTGGTGACCCCCCCAGCTTAAAATTATTTCATTGCTATTTCATAACTGGAGTTTTGCAGCTGCAATGAATCATAATATCTGTGTTTTCTGATGGCCTTAGGTGAGCTTTCTATACCTTATTTTTTGAGGCAAGGTTTCTCACTGAACCACAAGCTCACTAAGCCAGTGAGATACCAGGACTATGCCTGTCAACACTCAAAATGACACGGAGGCACTCACAAGCTACTTCCAGCCTTTATGTGGGTGCTGGACATTAAACTCAGGACCTTGTGTTGTGGAGGAAGCCTTCCTATCCACAGCCCCTATAGTTGCTTTTGACATAAGCAACTACACTGGAATAAATAACGCTGAGGAAATGGCTAAGGCAGAGCGAGGTGCAAGGTAAGGAAGGGGTATGTTTTGGTATTCAGATACCTTGGACTGGAGATGTGGCTCAGTGGTTAAGAGCACTGGCTGCTTTTTCAAAGGACCCAAGTCTAATTCCTAGCCCCCATTCAATGGTTCACAACCTGTCTGACTAGATTTCCAGGGGATCCGATGCCCTCTTCTAGGCTCTGAAGACATCTGATATGCATGTAACACACAGCTGTACATGTCGGCAAAACATCCATGCACATAAAATATTAAAAAATTTTAAATGATTTCACATAAGCTGAGATTCTTAACATGCTCCCCAACCCCACCACCAAGAAATGAGAGCTAAGCCTTTCAGAATGTGTGCTTTTGGCAGGGCGAGGAGGCACACGCCTGTAATCCCACCACTCAGGGAGGCAGAGGCAGGCGGATCATTGTTGAGTTCGAGGCCAGCCTGTTCTACAAAGCAAGTGAAGGACAGCCAAAGTGACACAGAGAAACCCTGTCTCGGGGGAAGGGGAAGGGAGAGTGTGTGCTTGCATTTCCAGAGCGCCTGACTTTGGTTCCCAGCATTCACATTGGGCGGCTCACAACTGACTGTAACTCCAGCTCCGAGGGATCCCCTCTGGCCTCTCTGGCCACCTGAACACACTGCCATACACACACAAATTAATAAGGGGCTGGCGAGATGGCTCAGCTCCACAACCACCTGTAACTCCAGTCCCAGGGGATCTGGGTAGCCTTTTCTGACCTTTAAAAGCCCCAGGCATGCCATGATGCACAGACATACAAGCAGGAAAAACAGTGATATACATGATATAAAATTAACCCTTAGAAAGAAAACTTTTAAAAAGTTTTCAAAGGAGAGCAATGAGCAGCCACTGCAAAGAGACAAAATACATTATCACGTGAACTTTTCTAACAAGCCGATCCCTTGTGAACCCACAGGCGGACAGCTCCGACTCGGACGTGGAGGAGGCTGGCCATTCCCTGAGAACAACCTCCAAGGTTTCGGCTTGCAAGAACACTTCGGAGCCACGGCGCGCCCAGCCCGGCAGCTTCACTCGCCAGTTCCCGCGCTCCGAGGGGGCGGCGGCCCAGGACGGCGGCTGTGCAGAACCGACCCACGCGTGTTCCAGGCAGGCGGGAGGCCAGGGTCCAGACTACTCGGACGCCCCAGCCCACGCGCCGCGGGGGGCTCGCAGCCATGAGGCCCACGCCCTGGGGGACCTGGAGAGCCTCGAGTGAGGCGTGCAGCGTGGGAACAACCCTCCTCTCGCCTCAATCCGGATCGCTCACCCGACGGCACGTAGTCCTCATCCTCGTCCGACGTGGAGAAGTCTTCGGAGTCGAATTCCTCCATGCTGCTGTCAGCTGGGGCCTGCTACCCACACGACGGCGGCCACTGCCCCAAATTAGCGAAGCTCTAGGGCGAGACCATAGAGGTGCAGGACCAGCAGCTAGGGCCGCCCTGGAGGCGTGCGCACATGCGCAGACGGTGCCACGTGGTCAAGTACGACACTTCCGGCTGCTGCAGCGGGTCAATCCACACTCTGATGGCCAGAGTGGGATTCCGGACACGCCCGGGAGCGATGCATTCTGGGGTTTGTAGTCTTCAGCGCTACCTTGACTCCTCGGTGGAGAATGGCCTATCTTGGGAAATAGTTGTCTCTCTGTATGTGTGTGTGTTTTAATTCGCTTACTCGCTAATTTGTTTTTTGTAACTCTCAAATCAGTGGTTAAAATGTTACTCCCGGACATGCGCAGCGAGTAAAAACTGAGAGTCGAAGAGATGTAAGTTCTCAGCGACTTTTGAGCAGTCTTCTGATTTCGAGCTCCGCCTTCTGATTCAACTCTCCCGCTAGAATCGAGTTCTTGAACGCAGTTTTAGTGCCTCTTCCCCTGCATTTTTGTCTTTTTCTGGGTGATTTTTGCAGCCTGAAATGGCTCCCAAGAACAATACTGAAACGCTGTCTAATATTCTAAGCGCAAGAAGGCTGCGACTTGCCTTACCAAGAAAATTCTGCCTTTTAAGTAAGTTATGTTCAGGCCTGAGTTACAAGTGCTGTCAGCGGTGAGTTCGGTGAGTTAAAAACTCGAAATGGTAATCAACTAGAGAGAAAAGGAAATCTGCTTATCGGCAAGTGAAGCCCCTGCACAGAGTGCGCTACCGACACGTAAAGTGTATGATGGAGCAACAGGAGAGATGGAAAAGCCGGTAAATCTGGGAGTTTGTGAGGACTGGAGAGATTGCAGCGGACCTGGATTTGCTTTCTAGCATCCCCGACGTAGTGGTGGTTTTCAACTGCCCTGAAGTCCGGCTAGGACCTCGATGGGCACCAAGCATGTACATACATGACACGCATGCGTACACGCAAAATAAAAATAAAATTTTTGAAAAAATTGTGGAATCATGAGATGGCCTGTCAGAAAACTGTAATGTGAAACTGAAAGTCAAAGAAATTTTTGTTTTTATGCCTCAAATGTTACCTTTCTCAACCAGCCCTTTGACCAAACTAATTAAAGCTTTCCAGAGACACTGAACTAGGAATCTTTACACCAACCTTGAGAAAGATTTTTTTATTTGGGTGTTCGTTTCGTTGTTTTTCCGAGACAAGGTTTCTTTATGTAGCCCTGGCTGTCCTAGAACTCTGTTGACCAAGGCTGGCCTTGGACTTAGGGATCTGTCTACCACTACCTTCCTAGTGCTGGGATTAAAGATGTGCACCACCCTGCCCAGCTTATTTAGGAGGGTTCTTAAGGCCAGCAGGAAAACCATCATGATGAACAACTGAAAGTCACTCACTAAAAGCAAAGTCATTGATTACATTGAAATGGCTTGGGATGGTATCAAGCCAGCTACTGTCAATACCTCTTAGTATAAAAAAAAAAAAAAAAGCCAGACTATAGAAGTTTTAGAAGTTGCAACAGAAAATATTGAAAAAGTGATAAAAACATGACGAATCTGGAGGAGATGGGAAAATGGCCATGACAGCAATGGGAATTGGCACATGCATTCACAGCAGCCAAAATATCAGAGTGAAACACTGTCTTGAGAAAAAGGGAGAATGACATAAAAGAATGTGGCCCAATGCTTGACTGTGGCCTCAAATCCAAGCATGTTGCCTCCTCTACATTTGGCCCTTGCACCAAGATGCTTAGCAGAAAGAGGCAAAGAACCAATGGTGGTGCACACCTTTTAGCCCAGCACTCAGGAGGGAGAGGCAGTTGGCTCTCGGTGAATTACAGGCCAGCCTGGTCTCCACAGTGTTCCAGATCAGCTAACACTACATGTGATACTCAATTTAAAAAAAGTATTAAAAATGATAAAGGAATGAGGCAGGAAGCAAAGCAGAAAATGATGATGCAAAATTTCAGGCCAGACTGGGAGGCAAAACTGTGCCTATCAAGTGGGGAGAAGCAAACCCCTAGGGTGGAACAGCTAAACATTGACATGTTATACTCTTCCTCTTCTGCAGAATGAGCTCCACTAATTGTTTCCTCGGTTTTCAGGAGACAACCAAAGGTTGAGCAGGTTAGCCACATTGGGCTAGCTAACCCGTTGAATCCTGCAGTTCCGACAAACTGAGCTTTTAACTTTCTTATACAGAAGTTGTTCTTGTTTTTGGTTTGGTTTTTCGAGACAGGCTTTCTCTGTGTGGCCTTGGACTCACTTTGTAGACAGTCTGGCCTCCAACTCACAGAGCTCTACCTGCCTCTGCCTCCCTGAGTGCTGGAATTACAGGCGTGTGCACCACTGTGCCTGGTTTCAGGTCTTTCTTTTTTAAAATGTTTTATTTTTTTCGAGACAGGGTTTCTCTATATAGCCCTGGCTGTGCTGGAACTCAGAGATCCACCCGCCTCTGCCTCCAGAGTGCTGGAATTAAAGGCATGTGCGTGCCGCCCACCGCTGCCATCACCATCTAAGTTTAAAACTTTTTATTTGGGGTATGTGTCCCCTTGCATCTGCTTGCATCATGAATGTGCATAAATCAGAGGACAGTCTGCAGGGCTCTGGGCTCTCCTTCCACCTTGCAGGTCCTAGGGATTGAACTCAGGTCCTCAGGCTTGGTGGCAAGTGTCCTTGCCCACTGAGACATTTCGCTGGCCCTAAAGTAGACTTCTCTTATCCGAAATTTATAGAATTAACAGCAGAATTTAGACCGAGTCTTTCGAATCTCACTACTCTTGGCCTTATTTTCCTTGGCTATTGTGAACACTCACCATGACCAAGAGGGTCGGGTGTAAGCCCATCGAGGAGGGGAGTCTCCAGAGATCTATACTCACTAACGATCCTCCCCCAGTTCTCCTAACACTGCACAAAAGTCAGATCCCAACTAAGTTTCCCAGCTAGTATGAAAACTGGTGTGTAGTATCAAGTAGTTATGACAGTCTCTTTTTCCATTGATTCATTGATTCATTGATTCATTTATTTATGAGAAAGGGCCTCTGTTGCCTAGACTGGCCCAAACTTGGGACAATACTCCTGCCTCAGGATCCTAGTGCTGAAATTGCTGGCCATAGTCACCATGCCTGGCTATTTATCTGGGGAGAGCTACACGTATAGACGTGTTCACCTGTATACATACAAGCACGTGGGTGTGCATTATGTTCGTGTGCGCACATGTGGAGACTAAAGTTTGGTACTACTATCTTCCTCAGTCTCGTTCTGCCTTATTTTAGACACCTGAACCCAGAGCTAACCACCTTACCCGGAAACCCAGTCTCCACTCCTTGAGCACTAGGGTTACCAAGGGGGTGGCCTCCACACCTGCCCAGCATTTCTGTGGGTGCTGGAGACCTGAACTCGGGTCCGCATGCTCCAGCTCACTCGCTTTCGGATGCTTTGTAAATGGTGACTGGCATGTCCTCTAATGCTCTCAAATACGCACTGGTCCATCTAGGAGAACTTTACATCCAAGTGTAGCTCATGGGCAGGAGGATGAGTCCAAGGCACTGGGTTTATCTCCAACACCAAAAATAAAAAAGATTAAAAAAGAAAGAAAAGAAAAATTATCAGGGGGTGGAGAGATGGCTCAGAAGTTAAGAGCAGCGGTTGCTCTTCCAGAGGACCTGAGTTCAATTCCCAGCATTCACATGGTGGCTCATAACCATCTATAATGAGATCTGGTGCCCTCTTCTGGCATGCAGGCATACATGCAGGCAGAATACTGTGTATATAATAAATATTTTTTTAAAAGAAAAATTATCAGTATTTAAAAATGGATAGATTTCAAACAGCCTAGAGTCCCAGTTTCTCCTAAAACAAAAACAAACAAAAGGCTGATTAAATCGGCAACACTGGGTCATCATCCTGCAGGACAAAACAAGGCTAGACCCAGGTGACGAGGGTCCCTTCACTCGGCAATGCAGTTAGTACCGGGCCTCCAACTCTTTGTAAGGTGTTGGTTTCCCCGTTGTCTTGGCAATAATTTAAGGGATCATCCCGCTGAATTCAGCACCTTTAGGTCTTCATCTGCCAGTCTCCACTTTCAAGTGTGGACTGTCACTTTCATGGAAACGGAAAGCTCCTTTCATCATGTCACAGGTCCAAACAAGCATGAGGACTCCGGCTGAACCCTGGTGGTCCATGCTTGATGCTCTGTATCCTTCCAGGATAGCGAAAACGTCACCTAAGTGCACATATATGTAAGAAAGGACCAAGATGTACAGCCAACGCTTGTGTTCGCACTATATGCTTAAAAAGAATTACGGCCCAGTGTGCTGGCGCACACCTTGAATCCCAGCACTCAGGAGAAAGAGGCTGTCAGATCTCAGCCTGGTCTACACAGTGAGTTCCAGGACAGCCAGAGAAAAACAGTGAGACCCTGTTTCAAAAACCCAAACCAAATAAACAATTACAAGACAGAATGAATGGTGAACTACCCCAAACTGAGTGACCCGATTTCCTTAAACAAAGGAGAGTCGTATTAGTCACTGAGGACATTAAATCATGAAAATCTGTGGGGTTTCTCTTCCAGTAGACAACTGAAGTAATTGTTTGCACACTACACAGCCACCCTAGTATAGGATCATACAAAAGCTTTCTTCATGAATGGTGTACGTATGTGTTTAAATGTGTGTAGGCATACATTCATGTCTTTCTCATGAGACGGGTCTCTTGGTGAGCTGTCAGGGACCCAGGCTCTGCCTCTAACGTGCTGGAATTACAGGCAGGTCTCCATGCCTGCTTAGCTTTTTCTGTGGGTGCAGGGGATCTGAACTCCAGTCCTCACGCTTGCACAACAAATGCTTTATCCACTGAGGCATCTTCCGAGGCCCCATACAAAGCTTCCTGATATGAACATATGGCCCCATAAATAGTTAATGAGTGAAGTTCACTTTAAGTAGAGTTTAACCACATATCTGAAAAAGAATTTTATTAAAAATCATTATAAAGATGAACATAAGGGAAATACAATTAAACATATAGGTTTATTATAAAAGATTACAATAGAAATGTAACTACAGGGGCTGGCAAGATGGCTTAGTGGTTAAAAATGTCTGTTACCAAGCCTGACTGAAGTTTGATCTCACAGACCCACGTGGATGAAGGAGAGAACTGATTCCTGAAAGCTGTCCTCTGACCTCTACTTATATGCCATGACAAGCACATGCGCTTGCTCCCACCAATAAATAAATGAGCATGGTTGGGAGGACAGTCCAGGCATGGTAGCCCATGCTTTAATCCTGGCACCTGGGAAGCTGGAGCCAGCACATCTGAGTTCCAGCATAGCCTTAAAGAAGTTTCAGGCCATCCATGGCTGCATAGTGAGGCCCTGTCCAAAAATAAATTTTTAGAGAAAAAAGAAAAAGAGAAAGAAAGAAAGAAAGAAGGAAGGAAGGAAGGAAGGAAGGAAGGAAGGAAGGAAGGAAGGAAGGAAGGCGAGCAACTCCAGAGCTGAGTGAGGTGCTGTGCTTGTAATCCCAGCACCTGGGAGGCAGAGACAGGAAGACTGCCACAAGTTCAAGGTCAGCCTGGGCTTCGTGAAGGCTGAAGGCTAGCCAAGGATGCGTAAGACATTGCCTCAAATAAAAGCTAAAAACAAACAAACAAAAAATGCTATCCCAACTAAAAAAATTTAAAGTGATTCTTTATTGATAATGAACATTTATACTAGCATTAGAAATATCAGTAGAAAAATAATATTTAAATAAATTTCTAATGTACAAAGATTTGATCATTTTGACTATAGCAGTTAAATGCAATTACCTAACATATAAAGTTAAGCTGATTTTGGTCCTAACCAGCCTTACGCAGTACACCAGAAAGAAATACAAGTTCACAAAACCTTCTGCATGTGGACCATTAATGGCACGGAGGCTTCACATTCTGGGAAACAGTTCCTTAGGGAAGTTGGCATTTCCTGCAGTGTCACAAGAACTTAACAAAAACCAGGGAAGTCAGAAAGGACATTGGAATCAAAAGCCAACATACAGCTTAAAAACCCAGAGGACACAGGATGGACGCCATTATTTTCATGAAGGACTTCTCACTAGTCCCAGCATTTTCTACATAGTATCTTGATACAAAGGATGCAGTCCAGAGATACAGCTTGCTTATATAATTGTTGTTTCACTTTTGCACACAAACTTAATTGTTACCCCAAAATTCCACTAAGAAATCAGTTTTTTGGTTGGAGGTTGCCTACCTATCTCAGAATTTAAAAAGAGGGGGTGAGAAGTGGAAATATAAATGCAGGAATCAGGGTCCAATAAAGTCATTATTTAGGGGGCACAGCCAACCACCTCTTCACTTCTGTGCTTATGTGGAAAATTATATCCCAAAGAATGTTTAGTAAGCGCTCTTGTAAGAGGCACCCTTCCATTGACAACACTATCATTTTCCAGAATGCAGGGTACAATATTCAAGTTTCTCCAAATGAAGGGCTGATTTCCAAAATCGCTCGTTGGAAGAAAGACCTGCTCTTTTTGCTGGGGAATAGGAAGGGCCAAGTATCTGCACTCTGACTGCCCACCAAATCTTATCAGTCACTACAGTTTTGACAAGTGTGTGTGTGTGTGTGTGGGGGGGTGTCAAAAAAGAAAGAATCCATTATTTTTGTGACCATCCCTGCAATTTACTGGGAAAATTGATCCTCTTGGCTATTTTATCAAAATGTAAAACCTTGTGCATGTGGGTGACAGGGGGTATGTGCGCATGGCTGCACGTGCTCCCACAGAGGTCCTCTTGGCTATTTAAAACTTTTAAAATGACAATTATTTATTTACATGGGCATGTGAGCAGCAGGTGGAGGCCAGAGACAACCCGCAGGAGTTGGTTCTTTCCTTCCACCATGTGGGCCCTGAGACTTGCCTTACTTGCTGAACCATTTGCTGGGCCCCTCCTGGTTATTTTTTAACCAGAAGCTGAGGGCATATTGCTTTAAGATAAATTTATGTCCTGATAGGTTGTGAGCCCTAATCTCACAATGATAACTCTCCTTTAAAAATGTCAAAGTTAATTATCTGAAGCCACTTTGAAAACAGGTTAACAAGAACATTGCATTTTGTACAAAACCGTTGAAATGATGAAAAGTGCTCAATATTTGCACCCCTTTCCCTTCTGAAGGTCACAGTCCACAGTCTGCAGGCTTTTTTTGGGAAGAACAAAATTAGGCAGTAGAGTTAAAAATTAAAATAGCTAAAATTAAGTTAGACACTACGATTTCACTTTAGGGATATAAATTCTCTTCAACAAAAATACAAAGGACAGAGGGGCTATATCTGGAGAGGAAGTTTTAGGCACTTTCTGGAAGTGGATGGTCAAATACTGCAGGGGTGGGCGGAGGATCGCGGCTAAGTTAACACAGTGAGAGGGAAACCACCACTAACTCCTCACGGGAACACTCGACAAGTGCGGAGCTGTCAAAGAAACTAAAACTACGACGAAAACTTGTCACAGAATCCTGCAAGTGTCTTATCTGTGACTGAATGTCCAAAGAGTGTCCTAACCTATCTGGTTTTGAAGTTCAGCTCCAGCCTCGTAAGAAAGTCTGTGTTTCCAGAGAAGGTAAACAGAATAGATGGCGTTAAAAGTGATGAGCAAGGGTTCATGGAGATTCTTTGGAAAAAGAGCCTTGATTAGGCGTGACAGTGGTGCCTATAATCCCAGCTACTCAGGAGGCTGAGGCAGGGGGATTGCTTAAGCCCAGGAGTTTGGGCCAGCCTGGGCAACAAAGCAAAACCTCATGTCTTAAAAAAACAAAACAAAACCACCAAAAAACCCTCCATTAGCTAGCTTACTTTGGTCAAATGATAAATTCACATCTCTTAAAATATATCAAATAATCAGAGGTCAAGACAGTTACCCATAAAATGTCTCATTCTCAGTGGTCACCTACTTTTTACAGTGGAACCAAAGCTGTTCTTTGAATTATACTTCAGTTCTTCCTGTATATTCCACCAGCTTGTCCTCAGAGTGACACTCAGCCCAAACCAACTTGCCTTTATTGTCACCACGAAAGCTTTTAGTACAGTGCAGCCTGCTCCCTTGAAATCAAGCAGCATTCACCACTGTTTCTGTGAAATGGCAATGTTGCACGGTTGCAAATGATGATGCAAATTCTCGCTCGGAGGATGCAAACTTCGAGGCATTGTTGGCATAGGTGGAAGATGTGAGTAAAACTTCTTAAACTGCCACAAGAGAAGAAAGCCAAAGAGCTTGTTTCGGCTGAGCACAGGGGTCCACAAGGGTCTTCGCCTGCTGGAGCGTCACATGGAAGAATGGGTTGTGGTGTTCCTCACCTTCTCGTGCCTCCAAGCTGCTTCCATTTGAAGAATGAAGAAACCATGACACTGTCTATTCCTTTTGACGAGTCTATAAAACGCAGGGGTGACATCACAGTGATGTCACTCATATGCTATAGAGTAGCTAAAACCCGTAAAAAAGAGACCACCACTACACAAAACGTCTGCCCGGTGCCCAGTGTGAGGGCTTCAAAGGGGATCATCTCCTTCCCAGCTGCTCGGTAGACTCCAGCAATGGCTGCACCTGGTTCAAATGCAAGCGTGTTAAAAGAGAAAAAAAATTAATTAATACAACAAAACCTGAGCTTAATGACATCACAAAAATATAACATCTAAAAATTTCCCTATTGGGAGATAGATTTTCTACATTTAATTATGAAAGAAGAGTTCTGTGCTTCCTGTGACCAGGCTAACTTTCTGTATATGGTTTCCAAGTCAGCACTGAGATTGGTAGTCTCTTAGAGCATCTCATAGTTCCTGAGTGATCTGAAGTGACAGTCATGATGACAAGACAAAACATCAATTCCCCTTGGTCCAATATCTCTCCTCACTCCCTTGCCAATTAACTCCTCCATGCCTATCACTGAATAGTCACCAAATACATTCTTGGCAATGAATGACAATCTACTGAGACAGATCAAGAAATGTTTCCAGGCCACAGGGAATCCCAGCTCCACTTGCTATTATACCGAGATTCCATTCAAAGAAGAAAGAAAGGAGGGAGAGATCAACACAGAGTTCTGAGCCATAACGCTATTCAAAGGGCACTGGGCAGAAAACTCGGTCCCATCTGTTTCCCAGGTGACAGCTTCCCTCACTATAGTCACTGCAACCTCCCAGAGGATGCCAGCACAACACAGAAACACCTGTGTCAACCCAGACAACCCCCCCCCATCTAATATTCTACACAAACACCTTGTTGACCCGGCTATACATCTGAGAGTCACAGAAACTCATAAAACATAGTCAACCCAATCAAATATCTACAGGTAGGCTTGGAGTGTGGTTCCATGATAAAGCACACGCTTGGTATGCACAAGGCCATGGGTTCCATTCTCAGCACCCCAAAAAGAAAGGATAACCTCATATTCTCAAATTGGGACATGAGATATTATGAATGTGTTTTAACAAGCAAGCCGTGTCAGACGTTTGACTTTGCCTCCAGTGCAATCAACGTCACTAATGTCTCAGAGCACAAGTCTCCTGAGACATGGATGATAAGGAAAGAAAGGAAAATCCGACAAAGAATAGGAAAAGGAAAAAGAAAAAAACTACCCTAAAGCCTTAAAACAGAAATGAGCACGTATTCAGTTGCTATGTGCCAATGACCATGTCAGGTAGTCGGTAAGTAGACATTTCATCTAGTCAGCGTTCAAGGATGTGGGGTGGGTACTTTCATCCCTGCTTTACCAATAAAAGGAGATCAGCTTCAGGGGCCAGAAGTGCAGTGTGGGTACTGCAGCATTAAGTGACACAGTGCGAACACAGAGAAACAAGGCTGCAGTGTCTCACAAAAAGAAAGGAAGGAAGAAAGAGACAGAAAGAAAGGAAGGGAGGAAGGGAGGAAGGGAAGAAGGAAGGAAAGAAGGAAGCAAAGTCAAAGAGATCAAAGGGCATTTCTGCTCAAAGCTCACGGTTTAAATTTACAGTGAAAATAAAATAAGGTGACAAATTAGGAATGTCACATTCCTATGTTTTATAAATATACTTATGATTATACATATTTATTTAAAAATAGCTGAGGCTGGAGACATGGCTCAGCAGTTAAAGAGTACTGGATGCTCTTCCAGAGGACCTAGGTTCAATTCCCAGCACCCACATGGCAGTTCAAACTGTCTCAACTCCAGTTCCAGAGAATCTGGCACCCAAATACAGACATGTAAGCAGGCCAAACACCAAATGAACATAAAAATAATTCATTTTCATCCCTCTAATTGCGTCAGTGACATGAAACAAAACACAGACAAAACAAGAAGCAGGTTTAAAAATAGTTTGCAATTTCCATGTTACTCCAATCTCAGGTCAGGAAGTCTGGGGTGGGGGAGCACGAAGGACTGAAAAACACAGAGCAGGCACTTAACATTCTTTGTGTGTGGTGCTAGGGTCACAGCCAGGGCCCCAGACACACAAGGCCAGCTCCGCCACAGAGCTCTGCATCCCTGCCCTCAGTTAGCTTTCTACACAAGAACTCTTATCATGAGACTTGTTCTCTATCTCTCAAGAAACCACACCTAAAAGAGTGGGAGCGATTAGTGAGCCATTCTACTCAGGTCAAAGGAAACTGGATCAGAAAGGTGCTGAAGCTTCTAAGGACAAATGCTTGTATTTTGCCAGTGCCCCGTCTCAAAAAAACGTCAAAGCTGACTTGAGAAGGCGAAGAGATTAGCCAGATGAGGGGCCTGAGAGCTAAAACAAACAAACAAACAAACAAACAAACACAAAACAAAACCCAAAAGGAATACATTGAAAAATAAAATCCACACTTAAGTCTTTAAAATTCTTTGTGTGTGCGTATGTGTGTGAATACACATACGCACACACCACGCAACCAAACCCCTCCTCCCCACCCCCTACCCCCCAGTGCTAGAAACCAAACCCAGGCCTCTGTGCTTGCTAGGCAAGCATTCTGCCACTGAGCTAAATTCCCAGCTTCCGCCCCATATTTCCAAAACGAGTCCTAAGGTGAGGTGACTGAGCGCATTATAAGCTTTCGACCAATATTTTAATGTCTAACATACTTGTCAAGATTCCAGCAGTAATTGGTCCCACGATGCCCATCAGCAGGATGCCTACAGACATGAACCTACCATATTTGTGATGTCTGAGGGTGAAGAGGGCCAGTAATCCAGCCGGGACATGGAAGAAGACAGAAGACACCAGTGCCCACAGGAACACGCCATACCACATCTCTGGGGGAGGGAAGAGAAAGGCAAGGCTGGAGTCACTGACTTTCCCAGGGGGCCAGTGCCAAAGAGGCCAGTCCCAGCCGCTGAATCCACTGATCTCATGCTCACCAGAACTTAGTTGTTGTCTAGTGCGCTTTGCTGTTGCGGGTTTTTTGTTTTGTTTTGTTTTTAAAGTTGGGCAGAGAAACCTCTTTGATTAAGATCCATTTTATTGTCTGTGTTTTACCTTTATGTATGTATATATACCATGTACATGCTGCCCATGGAGGTCAGAAGAGGGCATTGGATCCCCTAGAACTGGGGCTACAGATGGTTGTGAGTCACCAGTTGGGTGCTGGGAACTGAACCTGGGTCCTCCGCAAGGGCAACAAGCACTCTTCACCTCCGAGCCACCTCTCCAGCCCCTTGTCTTTGTTTTTGTGAGTCAGAGTCTCATCACATGGCCCAGAATAGCCTCATACACAATCTGTATCAGAGGCTGGCCTTGAACTCTGATCCTCTGCCTCCCTTGGGTTGAGATTATGGGCATTTGCCACCATGCCAGGGTTTACAGATGGCGTTTATGAGGTTCACAAACTACCGTTCACAGGCTATCAGCTGTTTTTATACATAAAGACTTATTTAAACTAATTAACAGGACTGTAGACACAGTAACAAGGCAGGAAGGAAGTCCTCACCTCAACAGGACTGCTGGTTAGCACCCAGATCTGACCTGCCGCCTCCAGAACAGAGGCAACAACCAGCTGTTAAGACACCCCCCCATACACACACTCACTCATGCTACTTCCCCTGGAGCACAGCAGCTACCCAAGGAGGGCTAGCAGGGTCCCAGCATAGTGTCCACACCGTTCTGAGCTCCCTCCCTCGCCCCAATCTCATCTACACCCCAATATGCAGTTACCTACTTCGGTGCTCACATGTAGTACTACTTAAAGCATTTTGAGGGGGAAAAAAGACTTCATTACATTAAGTTAGTTTATAAAAATACTCTGACAGGATGATTACAAGACTTTGAAAGCTACAGCAAACTTAGATCTATAAAACACTTAAAAAAAAAAAAAACCTAAGTGATTTCTTTTTACTTTACTGTATCTTAAATTACCAACTGTTTAATAGCTATTTATTGATCGATAGGGAGTCCTTTTCATTTCCCTGGCTCAACACACTGTCGAAAATGTTTCTCTGTCTTCCAGCATGTCCTTGTTCACTGCTTCAAACCAAGTGAATTATTAGCTATGTTTTCCTTGGGAGCTGCATTGGCGGTTTTCTGCTGCTGTACCAATCTTTTTGGTTCGAGGTTCTGTAAACTTCGAAGTCCAAGGCTGATAATCCACCTCTGTGAGGGAGGACCTTCTTTTCAATTTTTCCTGGGTGTGCGTGTGTGTGCCATTGCTCTCTTCCTTATAGTTGGAGGCAAAGTCTCTCACTTGGATGCAAAGCAAAGCAATTCAGCTAGTCTAGCTAGCCAGCTTGTTCTGAAGATCCCTTCTTCACGTCCCAGATGCCAGGCTTACAAGTTGGTCAGCATGTTCACACATGGTGAGCTTTTATGTTGGTATTATAGGTCCAAACTCTGGTCCTGGGTTCAATCTTGAGCAAGATACATACACATACATGAAGTCTCATGAAGAGCTGCCCCCTCCAGATGATACTGAATCAACAAAAGGACTTTGCTGATGGCCAGCTCTCTGCCTTCAACCCTCATTACTAAGTCACTTTGGCTCCAAGGTCAACTCCAGCCTAAAAGAACAGCAGTGGAGGAAGTGTCAGAAAAGGAGACAGCCATCTTATCAGCTGGCTCTACTCTGTCCTTATGCTCCAAGTCAAACAGGAACTCTTGTTCCTGGGTGAACCTCTGTAAAGCTGGGGTTGTACACTGACCAACCACATCTGTCCTTGTGGGGACCAGAGTCTTGCCCAGTACTGTGACTCCCTGCTGGAACCAGGCTGCTGGGATGCCCATCAGTCTGTATCACTCAACTGTCCATTCCTTGCTTGCCAACTGTCTCCCATCTGCCAGGAGATCCATGAGTATCCTCCCCTCCCCTCTACCAGTGACTAGCTCTCAGGGCTCCCAACGGTGGCCTGGCACCTTTGTCCTGATACTACCTGTCTTAGTCACTGTTCTATTGCTGTGAGGAGACATCATGACCAAAGCAACTGTTAAAAGAGAAAGCATTTAATTGGGAACTTATCAATTTCAGAGCACGAGGCCATTATCATTAGGCCTCATCATCTTGACAAGCCAAGAGCTTATACGTACCTGATCCACAGGCCCAACCCAGTGACACAGCTCTTCCAATAAGGCTATACCTCCTTATCCTTCCCAAAACAGTTCCACCAACCAGGGACTAAGCATTCAAATCAATGAGTCCCTGGTGGATGGCAGGTGGGAAATATTCTTATTCAAACCACCACAACAGCCAAGACTGGCCTTGGATTCAGGATGCATGTAGCTCAGGATGGTTAGCCTCAAATTCACAACCATCCCACCCCAGCCATCCAAGTGCTGTGCTTACAGGCATGTGCCACCGTACCAGGCGCTGTTCCCTTGACTCGCTCCAGCCACCTACTCTGCCCCCTATCTGGTCTCACAGTCACTACCAGATACTGAGTCTCTGCACTGGCATGAATGGTCCATATGGGAGGAGCTTTTGTTTTCTTCGTCAAGGATCTTCTCACAGAGACCCCAAAACAACAGGAGGACTGGAGATATGACTCAGCAGTTAGGAGCCACTGCTACTCTTGCAGAGAACCAGAGTTCACATTCCAAAACCCATACTGAGCAACCACTCCCGCTCCCAGAGATCCAGTGCCCTCTTCTCTTCCCTATGGGCATCCATACACACAAGTAAGAATAAATCTTCTTTAAAAGGGTACACCATAATCAGAAAATATTCGTTCAGTGAATAACTGACTTGTCCAAGTTGGATCCACTCTTGACTTCAGCAACAGCACAACCAAAATGTTATTGGGTTTGCTTAAGTTGGCATTTAGTGAAATCCTAGCTTCAGAGAATGAATGTCATTCCTGATTGTTACAGATAACAACTAAAAGCCAGTCATGGTGGTACAGGCCTATAATCGCAGCACCAGGAAGACTCAGGTTCTCTGGCAACCTCAGCTAGATAATGACACCTTGTCACAAACAAACAAACAAACAAACAAACACAAAGCGACAACAAAAGAAATCTGAGCAAGTTAGGAGAATTTGGCAGAATCCTAAAGGGCTAAGTTGCAAAAGCAGGTTTAAAAAAAAAAAAAAATCAATTCAAAGCTTTTTAGTACAGAGAAACCACAGAATATTTTAGGACAATGATCTGCCATGAGTTGGCATAAACTACAAGTAACTTTTTTGTGTGACCAAAATAGAAAGGAACCCAGGCTCAGGACCCTGAATAAGATTCCTACGAAGAGGACTTTAGTATCTCAAACTAGGGTCCAACTTCAAGGACTCATTATACCAGAATTCCAGATTAAGATGGGACACTGCAGGGAAGGGACAGGTTTACTACTGAACTCTGGTCAACGTGGGGTCAAGGGCTAAATGCATTAGCCCTTGTGATTAGCACACTGTGATCTCATCCATGTTTATACCTCCAGCCTGGAACCCACACTGGTCCGGATGGATTCCTGACCAAGGAATGAGTCCTAGTAAACAATGCTCTCCACAGAAGTACATAGAAGTAAAACTCAAATACAACATGCAGTTTAGCATTTTCAGAAGAGTCTGGAGACTGGCTCAGCAGTGAAGAGCAGTTGCTGCTTTTCCAGAGGACAAACAAGTTCAGTTCCCAGCTGAGGCGTTTTTACAAGTTCACTGGCATGTAGATATATACAACAGATATACAAAACAGACGTCCGCTGACTTTAAGACAGTTCTTGCCATTATTTATTTATTTATTTTGGCTTTTCAAGACAGGGTTTGGGTTCCAGGTTAGTACCAAAAGGAAACAAACACATAAAAACTGAAGTAAGCACAGAAGAGTTGCTCTAGGGTAACTGAGATTAAGAAGTCAGGATGATCAATGTAATGCGTGATTCTACTATTATGTGGCTCTGGATGGCCTGGAGCACACTATGTAGCCCAGGCTGACTTCCAATTCACAGATATCTGATTGCTTCTGACTCCAGAGTCCTGGGATTAAAGTTGTGCAGCGCCACACCCGGCAGTTCGGGACTCTCGATGAGCTCTTGAACTTAAGTAAGGCTTCTGACCAGCTCTCAGCAAACCAGGCCATCTGCTGTTTTTTTTTTTTTCTCTGTCTTAGTAAAATGACTCTTTCTCTCACCAAATGAAAACAAAAACAAAATGAAAAACAACAAAGGAGAAATGGCTCAGAGGGAAAGTGGCTCAGAGGGAAAGAGTGATGGCTGCTCTTCCAGAGGACCCAAGTTTGATTCCCAGCCACCTCCCTCTGGCCTCAGTGGCCACCTGCACATACCCAAACACATGCACATTTTTAAAATAATCTTTTTTTTTTTTTTTTTTTTTTAAGAAGAAAGCTATTTGGTTAATTGGAGAGAAATTTAAATTAGACCTGTTTAAATAACACCACTTTATGAGTATTAAGAATTTTAAAAGCGGTATGATTTGGGGGCTGTGACAGGACACACCTCTGCTTCAGAAATTTTGAGCTGAAGAATCATGAAGTGACAGGAGTTAAAAATGTGATGTGTATGCATAAGCACACAGAGAGTAAGAACCAAAATAGTCACGCTTTGCATAATGAGATTTCTACCGTCACCAGCCAAATACACAACTGTGGCCCCATAATCTAAAGTAGCCTGCCATCTAGGCTTTGCCTAACCGTATCTATGATGTTCTTACAACTGCCCAATGAGCCCGTTTTTAAGTAGTGTGTGACTTTTACCATATACTGTGTTTCAATCCCTCAGGTTTGAAATTTTCTCGAATAGTTGGAAAGAAATTAAAAAAAAAAAAAAGAACAAAACCAGACAGACTGATTTTAATCCTTGAAGAATACGAACCCTTCATTTTTTGGAGAAGGTCTCCAGAGTGGTGGGTGTGTGTTTTGTTTATTTATTTGTAATCACTGTCAGGTGTGACACTAACACCTCTGAAACCAATCTGAACTTCTGGACCTCTGTTTGTGGGCAGGATCACAAGCTAACATCTTCATCTGACACCCCCCCCCAAAAAAAAATACAAAAACAAAAACATCACCTTGTCAGATAACACAGGCAGGTCCCAGGTGTCCACTGAGAGGCGCCTGGCAGTCGCTGCCCAGTACATGAGGATGACAGGTGCCTGGCTTATGGCTGCAGTCAGCAATCCCTTCACGATGTCTCTGGCCCAATTTCTCTTTGCTGGAGCGCCCTAATCCCCCCTCCGTCGTCTTGCCTTCGAAACTCCAAAGCAAATAATCATGACCTCCCCTGAAGGCCTTTATTAGTGATCCCAGGGGAGACAATTCTACTCCCCACAGCTTTCTCAAGTGTGGCAGAAGGCGACGAAGCTCGGATGGGAAGTGAGAGCAATGCAGAAGTTGTGGCTAAGTTCTTCAAGATGTGGGTGGGAGAAGCCGCAACAGGTCTGAGCAAGTGATTCCTGCACACACAAGCTGGAGGGCAGGTGGGTGTAGGAGGGACAGAGTCGGCAGCCAGGCTCTCGGAGGGAGCACTCTAGGGGCAATCTCTAGGCCGGGACAGGCGTCGCCCCGAGGCACCCGGGTGCGATTCCGGGACTGCCTCGGCCTCGCCCCGGGTGGCCGGCGACAGGTGCGCAGCGCGCAGGCGCGGGGCGGGGCGTACCTGGGAAGGAGCAGAGCGAAGTGGAGTTGGGGCACAGGGTCCCGTTGCCCACCCGCGGCACGAGCTTCAGGCTGAGGATCTGCTGCAGGAGCCCGGCCGACCCGCCGCCGCCGCCGCCGCCGCTCCCCTCGCGCTCCATCTCGCCGCCATCCACCGCCCGGAGTGCCGCGGAGCCCGGCACCTCCGCAGCCGCGGCGTCACCTCGGGCCGGCCCTCTTCTCCCGCCCACCCCAACGGCGCTGCTATAGGAATCGTCTCCCCTTCCAATCACAGGGCGCCGCAGGTGGAGGGGGCGGGGCGACGGTTGTTCCCGCCCCCACGGAGAGGCGTTCTATTGGCTTGCTGCGCCCCTAGTGAGAAGTAGCTTCTGTTCCGTCCGGGTGAGCCGAAGCCTTTCGCTTTCGTGCCACTGGTAAGTAGGACGAGTCCGGTGAGATTGCCCAGCGGGTAGAGGCGCTTGCCTCCCAGCAGGAGGGATCTGAGTTCCATCCCTAGGACTCACGTGGGGAAGGTGAGAACCAGCTCCCATGGGTTGTCCTTTTACCTTCACAACTAGATAAATATTATAAGAAGATACAGCACCCAAACTAAATAATAAGTAAATGAGTAAATAAATAAGAACTAACCGACGGTGTCCTCAGATTTCTGGGGAGAGCCGGGTGTGCGTTGGCAGGGAACCAGACTAGCTGCACAAAGACCTAGATTCCAACCCCAGTCGCTTAGCATGGAAAGGCTCTGTAGGTTCAGTTCCCAAACAATTAACAAAGACTTGAAAGATGGCCCAGAAATTTTGTTAAGTCGTTGAAGTTGGAACTTTTTTTTCATGTGAGCTGAAATAAAGACCTTTTGTTTGCAGGATGGTGGTGGCACAAGCCTTTAATCCCAGCCCTCAGGAGTCAGAGGCAGGCAGATCTCTGAGGCCAGCCTGCTCTGCAAAATGAGTCCAGGACAGCCAGGGTTACACAGAAAAACTGTCTTGAAAAAACAAAACAAACAAAATCCCCACACGAAAACATTTTGCAGTCAGCGAAATGGTTCAGCAAGTAAAAGCACCCGCTGTCAAATCTAGTGAGCTGAGTTCCATCTCAGGGGCCCATATTGTAAAAGAGAACCCACACCTGCAAATCGACCTTTGTCCTTCATGCTCAGTGGCATAGATTCCCACACACAAATTGTAATGGCTATTCTTGGTTGTCAACTTGACTCCATCTGGGTTTAACTAAACCCCAAAAGACTGGGCACACCTATGAGGGATTTCTTTATTTCTTTCTCTCTCTCTCTCTGTCTCTTTCTTTTAAAGATTTATTTATTTATTATGTACACAGCGTTCTGCCTGCATGCCAGAAGAGGGCATAAGATCACATTATGGGTGGTTGTGAGCCACCATGTAGTTGCTGGGAATTGAACTCAGGACCTCTGGAAGAGCAGCCAGTGCTCTTAACCTCTGAGTCATCTCTCCAGCTTCGATTTTTTTTTTTTTCTTACTTAAATCATTTAAGGTAGGAATACCCATAATCTGGATGTTTGAACTGGGACGGTCCACCCTTATTCTGTATCTTTTGAGGTGGAAAGATGAACCTTTAATCTGGACTGGACCTTCAGCTGGCAGCCTGCATAAAGGACATAGGAGAAGGAAGCTTGCTCTCTTTGCCCGTTTGCTTTCCTCCCACTAGTGAGTCCATTCCTTCACTGCCATCAGAGCCTACTTCTTGGGGATCCCGGCGTATGCTGAAGACCAGCTGAGACACTCGGCCTCATGGACTGAACAACTACTGGATTCCCAGACCTTCCATTGGTAGACAGCCATTGTTGGATTAGCTGGACCACAGCCTGTAAGTCATTCTAATAAATCCCATGGATGTAGTCATATGTAGATATGTGATTCATATATGAATATATATTCAATAAATAAGTTCAAAAATGTCAATAAATAATATATTTGTTAAATAAATATATATTTATTCTATAAGTTCTCTTCCTCTAGAGAACCCAGGCTAATATGCATATACAATAAATAAATAATTTTAAAACCTCCTGAGACAGCTGTTTTCCAGTAGATTTAGACATCTTGTCAACATTTCAGATTTTGTAGGATTTTTGTTTTTACATGATAGAGTGGGAATGCCAACAGCCTTTTCTCATCAATGTGCTATGTCCAAGGAATACCTGAGTGTTGTTCATCTCCCTCCCAAAGGAAAGAAGTAGGGAAAAAAAAAAAAAATCACTGGGCTGGGGATGTAGCTCTGTGACAAGACGTCCTCGCCTCATATGCCTCATATGCTTTGGGTTTGATCCCCACTACTACACAAAGGTCCCTAAAAGACTTTCAGGGAGAACCTGCGGATTGCTTATAAAGAAATGAAACCTGATGCTTCGACAGCCAAGTGGAAGGGCCTAGAAGACAAAGCATCAATATTTTGGAGGAAAAAAAAATGTATTTTGAGCTTTTGAGCATATGCTTTTTCCTAGTCATCTAGTCCTTTCCTTTTGCTTTCTTAACAAATTACCTCTATTTCTGTTACCTTTTTGGTGTGTTCGTTTTTGTGACAAAGTCTTGCAATGTTGTCTTGGCTGGCTTGGAACTCACTGTGCAGACCATGTCTGGTTTCAAATACCTTTAGAGGGGGGGGGGGGAGGAAGGGAGGAAGAAAGCCCTTGCTTCTATGACACATATGTAAAATTGGATTCATGCATAAATTAGCATGGTCCCTGCCCAAGGATGACATGCTAATTCATGAAGTGTTCCATTTTTTTATAAGCATAAAAAATGAATTTAAAGGAAAAGAAACAGTGCTCTGAAAGCATAAGAGTGCCAGGAATGATAATAGCACAAGCCTGTAATTCCAGATCTTGAAAGAGACTGTAAGTGCAAAGCCATCCTGAACTTCGTAAATTGTGTCTCAAGGTGGGAGGGGAGAGGGGAGGCGGCTTAGTGATTAAGAGCCCTTCTGCTTCTTTTACAGGACATATTAAGAAGCTCACAATAGCCTGTTACTCCAGTTTCAGGAGAGCCAATGCCCTCTCCTGGCCTCTGAGAGTACCTGTACCTCTCTCTGTCTCTCTCTGTCTCTCTCTCTCTCTCACACTATAATTTTTTTCAAATGGGGTATCAACTATGAGCCAATTTAAGAAATAAGAGCTTAGTGTAGAGAAGAAATGAATCAATAAAATTACTTTAAAACTTACACTGTGAAAAATACTTGGCTCCTAGCTGGGCTTTTCATCCCAGCACTCAGGAGGCAGGGCAGAAGGATATTTGTGAGTGCAAGGCCAGCCAAGACTACAAACAAAACAAAACAAAAAATATGTGGTTCCTCAAGGGATACATAGTAAAATAATATAGTAGTTCAATAAGTAGATAGCAAAAGCCTAACTTACTTTAAATTAGATTAGAGAACAAAGTACATAGCATTTCCCTTTCAAAGACATTAGTAAGATGTCTGATTAGCTTTTTTTTTTTTTTTTTTTTTTTTTTTTTTTTGAGACAAGGTTTCTCTGTGTAATAACTCTAGCTGCCCTGGAGGTTGCTCTGTAGACCAGACTGACCTCCATCTCACAGAGATCTTTCTTGCTGATTAGCATCTTGAATCCTCCTGAAGCCACATTTTAGAATGCTGCTAATGCCACTGGAGTTTTTTTGTTTGTTTGTTTGTTTTTTGTTTTTGTTTTTATCAACCAAGAATCTTATCCAAAACAACAGAAACACTAAATGTGTTTTTCTTAAAAAAAAAAAAAAAAAAAAAAGCCATAAAATATTTGCTAGAATTGACTTTTCAGTTCATTGTGAAGATTGCCAGAGTCCATTTCAAGTGGATAAACCATTATTTTGGGGTTATATGACAGTGTCGACAGTACCACATCAAGAAACGCTACTTAGAATTCTATCACCAAACTATGAATTGGAAGCTTATTTTTAAGATTAACTTTATTTTTATTCCTGTATATTTGTATCTGTCTACATAAGTATATGTCACTTGTGTGGGGGTGTCAGATCTCCTGGAGCCAGAGTTATAAGCGGTTGTGCTGCCTGACTTGGGTGCTTGGAAAAAACTGGGGCCCTCTGGAAAAGCAACAAGTGCTCTTAACTACTGAGCCATCTCTCCAGTCCCTGAATTGAGAGATTTAAAGAGCGATACTAGACTTGGAGGACTCAGAAAATGTGTATTTCTTATGCCTTTTCTAAGGAATCGTTGCGTGAACTATAGGAAAGGTAAAGAGCAGCAAGCAAGGAAGAAAGGGATCCAACCCAAGAAATGGGAGAATTGGGGCCTGGAGAGTTGGCTCAGTGGTTAAGAGCAATAGCTGCTCTTCCAGAGGTCCTGAGTTCAGTTCCCAACAACCACATGGTGGCTCACAACCATCTATACAGGGATCTGGTACCCTCTTCTGGCATGCAGGCAAACATGCAAATAGAGTAGTCATATGTATAAATAAATAAATCTTAACAAAAAGAAATGGGGGGAATTAACCACACCGTCACCACATTCTCTGTGTAAAAGTTCCAGCAGCTACCTGCCTAGATTAGGCGAGAAAGACGTATCCTCAGAAAAAATAAAGAAATCACTTTCAACCTATCAGCAATATTACTGCAAATTTAATGGCTAGAAAAGTAAGGAAGGGAAAGAGAAGGAAAAGGAATTGTGGGAACCAATTGCAGCTATTCTCTCCTGTAATCTCATAGAACTCAGGAGACAGGAAGGCCAGCCGAGAGTTCTAGGCTTGCCTGGACTACCTCACATAAAATAAAGAAACGGGACAGTGAGGCGCTTCAGTGGGTTAAGACACTTGCCACAAAAGCCTGACCAACTGAGTTTGCTCTCCAGAACCCATGTAAAGGTGAAACGCCACAGACTTGTCCTCTGACCACACAGGTGCCAATGTAAACATACACACAGAGTAATAGATTGTTATGTATGCGAATGTTTTGCCTGTTTGTATGTCTGTGCACCACATGTGTGCTGGAGGCTCACTGGAGACCAGAAGAGGATCCCAGACGCCTTGGAACCGAATTACAGGTAGCTGTGGGCCACCATGTGGGTCATGAGCAGCCGATGCAGTTCCTCCGGAAAAGCAGCTTGTGCCCCCGAGTCATCTCTCCATCCCACAAATGAAGTTGAGAGAGAGAGGAAGGACTAAACAAACCACTGAGAGAGAGGAGTACTGAAAGCTAAATCAAATGACTTATAAGGGTAAGGCAAGCTCATCTGATTTGGGGCATACAAATCCTAAAGAGCCGGCGGTGGTGACACAAACTGGTAGGATATGCTGAAGAAACGGAGACAGGAGGATCATGAATTTGGTGCCAGCCTGTACTGTAAATAGCCAGGAATATATAGTGAGACTGTAGTTTAAATATGTGTGTGCGTATCTATATCTATCTATCTATCTAATTTAAACATATATTGTTGGTCTAATTTTTTTTTAATGTACCTTACCCTTGTTCATTTAAATACTGATTTCTCCCCCACCAGACCCCACCCAACTCTCTGCTTTCAATCCGGATATTGCATTGTGATACTCATTCTAAGCATCCTGTCTCAACTCTCGTGTAAACAGGAACAAAATAAAAACAACTAGACACAATGTTGAGCAGGGAGAAGCCAGAGGACAGGAAAGAGGGGAGGAGCCAGAAGGCGGGAGAGGAGTGGGAGGAGAAGGAGGAGAAGGGGTGAGAAGAGAGCGAGGAGAGCTGGAGGAGAAATCTTGGGAGGTCGTGGAGCATGAACCAGACCTAAGATTTCACAAAAAGCAAGTATAATGTGGGAAATCTAAATGTTAGGAAACTGAGGGCTTGGAGGTTTAGGAGGGAGTAAATATTGCCCAGCATTGTGTTCTAGGTTAACTAAAAACCCAGTCTCTGGTGATTTGGTTATACAGCTGTTTAGGATTAGCAGCAAGCTTTACTAGAAGATAAACCAATAGTAAATATTAATAACTCCTACAACAATATATTTATTAGGACCTGGAGGTGGCAGCACACGCCTCCCATTCCAACAGAGAATCTTTTGAGTTTGAGGCCAGCCAGGGCTACGGAGCTAGTTCCGGGATAGCCAGGGCTACAGAGAGAAGTCTTTTCTTGAAGAATAAACAGAATTTTGTTTTGTTTTTGTAATTTTTTTTCCTCAAGAAGTGGTCCTGTTAATCCACTTCAGTGGAGGGGATGTGCCGGCCAGGTCAATCCCAGTTCCAGCGAAAAGTAAGGCACAGATCAGTCAGGAGAGGGCAGTGCGTCAAAGGCCTGCTTGACTGGTTCCGGTAACCCCGCCTCTCACCTCATTCTGGCCAGGAGTATGATTCTTTATAATTATGACTGCTGATGGGGAATGCTAAATTCAAAACCCCCGGAGGCAATCGTGAAAGCACATTTATAATCTTGAACAGGATAAAGACTTCAGAGAGAAGCACAAAATCCAGGCGCCCTAAGGAAAGATTTCACAGGTTAACAGTGTAATTAGGTGATATTAATGGAATCTGAATGTGGTGGTTTGACTTCATATATACAAATGCGCCTCCCCCCCCCCCAAAAAAAAAAAAAAAAAAAAAACAACTGTGACTTTATTATTTATCAGTCAATGCCTTGGCCACAAGCTTTGGCTCATTCCCCGACTAGTTCATAATTTTATCAGTTTATTCTTTGTGTACCACATGGCTAGTTACCTGTCCATCTTCCTCAGAGTCCTGGGTGAATCCTTCACTCTGACTCCATCCCCGAGTTCATACCTCTCTCTCAACTCTACCAAAACTCCCACCTCCTATTTCCCACCTCATCTAATAGGCCAATCAGCTTTTTATTGACAGGTGATGCTTCCAATATACTACAAAAGAGATCGGCTCTACACAAATGTACAGCCCAGTCGAGTTTTTTTTTTTTTCCGGGTGTGATGTTTGTGTGTGTGTGTGTGTGTGTGTGTTCTGTGTGTTTTCGAGACAGGGTTTTTTCGGTGTAGCCTTGACTGTCCTGAAACTCACTCTGTAGACCAGGCTGGCCTCGAACTCACAGAGATTCACCTGCCCCTGCCCAAACCAGACTGCTGGAGTTAAGGGTGTGCACCACCACCGCCCAGCTACTGATCAAGTTTTATACAATAAAATGTGCAGCTAGAGCTGGTGTGTTAACAGTTGCATCACAATAGAACCATGAGAATTGCTGCTTTGGGTTTTGGTTGTTTGTTTTTTGTTTTGACTTTTAAAATTTGTGTGTGTGTGTGTGACAAGCATTAGTGTGAAGGTCAGAGGACAACTTTCAGGAAGATTTGGTTATCTCCTTCCACAATGTGGGTTCTGAAGAGTAAACTCTGGTCAGCAAGTTTGACAGCTTGATCCACTGAGTGATATAACCTGCGTTTTTTTTCCCCAAAGATATATTTATCTTTACTTTATCTGTGTAGGTTTTGCCTGTGTGAATGTGTACCATGTGTGTGGAGCCTAGAAGAGGGCATTGAATCCCCTAAAACTGGAGTGTCAGATGGTTGTGAGCTGCAGTGTGGGTGCTGGTCCTGTGTAAGAGCAGCCAATGCTCTGTCCAGCCCCGTACCAGGTGATTTAAAGCCTTCTGCTAGCCAAGCTCCTAGACACATGCTACCAAATAAGTCCGCTATTAGCATGAGTGTAGTTGAATCAAGTGTGGTTTGAACAGAAGGGCTTTTCACACCAGTCACACAGGTGGAACACATACATACATGAAGGCACTAACACATACACATGAAATAAAATAAAATTAAAAATAGTTATTTACCCGATGAGCCCATTTTGCT